TGTGGTTTGGTGTGCAGTTCAGTGGCTTATTTGACCCTTATTTCTTGATTTTAAGAAAAGTGTGATTTGTTGCTTCGATTTTGTGAAAACTTTCAACAATGAACCAAATATCTAGCACGTCACACATGGTTTTTTTAGTGCAGCTTATCTCTTATGTGTGATTTGTAGATTTTTATACAATAATAAAATTTAGGGAGAAGGGTCAAATAAGCCCTCGAACTTTGGCTTAAAAGTCAATTAGGCCCCTAAACTTTTTAAATGTGCAATTACACCCATCAACAATTTATTTAGGTGCAATGAAGCCCAAAAACAAGTTAATGACCTGCTATCACAGGTCATTAGGGTTTAGACCATCTTCTGACGAATTTTCCGGCAAAAAAAAAAAAAAAAAAAAGTGACCGGTGAAATTTCTGACAAAAAAGTTCCCGGCGACCGACGAAATTTCTGATCACTTCTTTTGCCGGAAATTTCGCCGGTCACTTTTTTTTGTCAGCAAATTCACCGGAAGGTGGCCTGAACGCTAATGACCTGTGATAGCAGGTCATTAACTTGTTTTTGGGCTTCATTGCACCTAAATGAATTGTTGATGGGTGTAATTGCATTTTTAAAAAGTTTAGGGGCTTAATTGATTTTAAGCCAAAGTTTAAGGGCCTATTTGACCCTTTTCCCTAAAATTTATTCACACTCTTAACTAGTGACTACGAATTTTTGTCGGTTACGAGAAAAAAAAAAACAAAAAAAAGAACAATTTTAAAAAAAAAAAAAAAAAAAAAAAAAAAGGAATCCTCAAATTGTATGTACAGTTTAGGTGCGTATGTAGTTTGGCTACTCGTTAGAGTAAGCGACTAGTTCACTACAATGTCAACACACGTCACGTAACAAGCGTGTGGAAGGAAGCTAAGACCAAATAGAATTTTATGATTACAAATTTATTCATATAAAATTAAATCAGTCCTTATCATATATATACAGTCACATCAACCTTCAATTTTTGTTTGCTTTATGCAAAATCAAATTTCTAATAGGTGTGATATAATAAAGAGTTGGGGAGCATATGAAATATAATTTTTACAAAGCGAGAAAGGGTCCGAGAATGAAAAAATAATATATATATATATATATATATATATATATATATATATATTATATATATATATATATATATATATATATATATATATATATATATATATATATATATATATATATATATATATATAAAGAAAGATGAAAAAAGTAGGGATCGGATAAGTTTATAAAAATAATTAGAAGTTCTTTTAAAAAAAATATTTAACAGTTTAAGAAGTTTGTTGTGTGAGGATTTCTTGGGGGTTTCCTCAGTCAAATAAGCAAAAACAACAAACACATGTTACTAAGCTAAATTGAATTTCTACATTTGGAATATCATATCACAAAGAAAATCTCTGTATGCTTACTTTGAGCATCCAGTTTGAATCAACCTTAGCACTTCGCCCACCATATTTTACGTTGAAGAGTAGACGTTTAAGCATAATTGAAATTTATTGTTTGAGAGAATGGTAATGTCGGAAAAAAAAAATATGTTGATTTTTCACGGACAATCAAGTTCACCACAATCAAATTATTTTTATACTAACAATAAGTTTAAAATAGTTAAAGTTTTTTTTAAGTATATATAAATTTTTAAATATATTGAGGCACAGATATTTGATCTGTAAGGGTAACCACAATTCAGTTCCGATTCCGAACATGCAGTTCTCGATTTTCAAAAACGACAAACTGAAATCGGAAACTTTCTAGGAAGATTCTGATTTTGGTTCTGATTTGAACTGCCACTTCGAACCAGATTTTTTGCTTTCTTTTCTTTTAAATAGTTCAAATTCAACAATTATTTATTTATTTATTTTTTAAAATTCATTCTGAATTTTGTTTTTTAAATTGATTATATCCAATATTTAAACTTTAAAGTTAATCTAAAAAAATTGTTATAGTTAAATTTTAATTAATCAAATAATAGTTAAAACTTAAAATTGTTTTTTTTTTCTTCAATTTTTTATATTATAGAACTAGAACCAGAACATTTTGAGTCCCGATTTGGTTCTTACAGTATACATTTCAATTTGAACCGTGATCAATATTCTTGACCCTTAGGATTGGAGTTCAGCATTTTGGAAGAATATTCTTAATTTCATGTCCTTACGTATATCACGTGAATTTTTTCGTCGTTCCCATTGAAGTATGGAATATTATTTGTTGAGAGAATCATGTCAGTCTATACTATACTTGTATAAATAATAGGCCTTGAGACCGCCTAGAAAAAGGATTTGACTTTGGCTACTTTGGACTAACACAACTCCTTTGAGTCTCCTTTCCCCATTAAAATAGATCTCTAATCAAGAACTATTCCTCAAAAGCTTATATTGTATTCTCATGGTAGTTTGTTAATTAGACTACATATCTTGTAATTTTAAACCACCCTCATGCTTAGTTGTCACCATCCTATAATACCAATTAATTCCCGTTAGTTTCTATCATATTTTTTTTGGTACTCAGAATTTTCACAGTCGAACACAGTGATTAATCCCTTCACTGAATTGTAAACACTTCTTTAACTTGAAAATTTAAGGCTCCGTTGCTCCATACCCAAAGCTAAGGATAGAAGTCTAGGGATGGCAATGGGTCGGGGAGGGCTACATCCATCACCCAACCCACCTTATATTTTCTCCACCCACCCCCACTTCCAACCCGCATTGGGTGGACATTTTCAAAATCCACCCCCAACTCACTACGGGTACCCACCGCTTATCATCTTATTATTTTTTTCAAAAAATAATATTTAAATTACTTACACATAATAAAATTCATTAGTGATACTAAAACATAAAATAATATAAATATTTAAATATAATAACTAAATTGTTAATTTTTAAAAATAAACACAGTAGTTTAGATATAAAAAAAATAGTAAAAAGATACACGAAATTATATAAACATTTATAAATAACTAAATAATAGTATTTAGTTTACTATTATATATATAAACACATACACATGGTGGGTCGAGTAGACCGGGGTTCTATGTGGGTTTTGTACATAGAATCCGAATCCAACCCAATCCACCGTGAGCTTACTTTTTTAAGACCCACTCCCAACCCATCACCCAAAAAAGCCCGTTCCATGCGAGATGGATTCGGATGGATATCCACAGGATGGATTGAAATGACCATCCCCAGATAGAACTTAACCTTCATATTATAACAACTAGTATTTTTTTTTATGCGCGATGCGCAAAAAATAGGTGCCCAATATTAATACACTATATTAAAATTTTAAATTTATTTAGATTTCAGATATTTAAATTATTCTAAATAATAATAATAATAATAATAATAATAATAATAATGTAAATCATTTTTATAAATTTGATATTTATATTTTATGTGATAATTAACATATAACTCAAATATATAATGTTTATATATTATTATTAATGAAGAAGATAAGAAAATATATGGTGGATGCATGTGCATGGAAATAATAGTGGAAAAGATAACGGAAGTTATAATGGTAGGGGTATATTTGTCCAAAATATTTTAATGTACAACCTTTATAGCATAATGTACAAAAAAAACTTAACGAAAAAACAGACATAAATCAGGGGTATAACTTTCATTCACACTTATTATGTTTTTAGATTTAGATAACCCCTAGTGTCATTCCCAACAATCCATTTAATAAACTTACCACAAACTCCCCCTCAGTCTAGCAGTCTAAAAAAAAAAATATTAATATTTAATATTAGTCCTTTTAACTTTCAATTAGGTATGATTATTATATTGAGAAAAGGGTCAAATAGGACTTTAAACTTTACCCAAAAATTAATTAAATCTTTAAATTTTAAAAAAGTGCAATTAGAGATTAAAAAATAAAAAATAAAAAATGGCCATAACAGTGATGGGAATATTGTTTTTAAAGATAATTTTCAAATTCCATGTGGTCCACTTTTCAAATATTTATATTTTGGATTAATGTAATAATGTGAGATGGGTCCATGATAAGGAAACCGTTCCCCGACAACGACATAAAGTTTGGTGGCAAACATGCAAAAGACATAACTTAGGAATACGCTGCAACAATCCATCATCATTCATCCAACACCAACTTGTTTCGAAATTTTTAAGAATCGTTTCTTTCCTTTTTCAACCCATCCAAACATAACTTAGGAATACGGGCTGTCTTTCATTCCACCCCAATCCAATGTTCATGTAAGCCCCAAATGTCCCCAGCCCAACAATTAACCATCCTTATACCATGGCCCAGGGTTCACAGTACGACAAATTATTCTGTAAACCCAAATCCACCTTGCAGGCAAATTATGATGTGCATCCGTGTATATCATGTTGCAAAAATAACGTCGTTTTGATTAAAAATGCGGGTTCAACTTAAAAATAATAATTTAATTTCGATTCCTTTCAACAACATTTTGTTGTGCATAATTTCTTAATGTATAGTTATAAATTATGGATGTATAGTTATGCAATTCTGGATTTATACTTATGAAATTATGGATGTGTAGTTATGCAATTCTGAATGTATAGTTATGAATTTATGCAATTCTGGATTATAGTTATGAAGTTATGGATGTGTAGTTATGCAATTCTGGATGTATAATAATGAAGTTATGGATATGTAGTTATGCAATTCTGGATGTATAGTTATGAAATTATGGATTTGTAATTATGCAATTCTGAATTATTATTTTTTTAAGTCGACGTCAAAACGACGTTATTTTTACATCCGTGTGCCCCATGCATGATGTACAGCATAACGACTCTACCTTGCAAGATGGACACGGTCTACAGAATAATACCTACGGAACCAGCCATGAATTGACTCAGAAAAAAAAAATCAAACTTGGGCCCAGGACCATTACGCTGGTCTTGATTCTAGAAAATAGAGGCCCGAAGTTGAACCCAAAACTTGTCCAGGAACGACCCCAAACGGAATATTAGGGAATTAGCCTCACTGGAAACTTAACAAAATTTCCCTCGTCGTCTCCACTCTCACAAGTCGCCGCCGGTACGAATCTGAGAAGTGTGTACTTTTTCTCACCAATGGCGGCTTACTGTCATCAACGCGATTTCATGTTCTGTGAAAGGTGCCAAACTATGCTCTCTTTCAATTCACCCAAGAAGGCGCGCTGCCCGCTCTGCAAATTTAAGAAACCTATACAGGGTTGGTTCTCATTCACTCATTTTCCCTTTTCTTTGTGTGGTGTTTTTCCTTTTACTTCATTTGTTTATTCATGTTTTTGAAATTCCAAATACTCCGTACTAATTTTGCTCTAGCCAGGCTTATGTACTTTTTTTTTTTTTTTTATGAATTCCAATTCTCAGAGCTGATTGCAGCGTAGAAGCTTATGTACTTTTTTTTATGTCCCTGTTTGATAAAATGCATCTAGTGTCTCTTGTAAAATTTATGATTATGAATTGCGAATAATTTATAGTGTAGTCCAACTTACAAGTTTTTGGATTGAATATGCTAAAATCTGTTGCATAGTCCTCAAGTTATAATCTTTTATTAAAATCTGCAAAATTACATGATTTAATATCTATCTGTTCATATTCTATGGGGTTTCAGTCATAGGTGCAGGTTAGTATGGCTATTGAAATTATTCAGTGGATGCTAGGGATTTATCTAATGATTTTATCCTCGTCCCGGGAGCCTTATAGTTATGTTTGGCAAAGCAAATAAGTAGTAATCGACTCTAAGTTATGGATTATTGACTTAGATAAGTTAAGTAAGCTTTGTATAATCCATAATTCATAATTTTTGTTAAACATTCACTATTAATCTATTACTTTTTAATCTCTGATGAATTTACTTGGCTGTTACAATCTGCTGAACTTTTAGACATTCGTGATTTTCAAATGGAATAAAACACTTCCATATCACCAGGAGGATATATTGCCTCACTTCTAGAGTTCACAATTTCATCTTGTAATCTTAGTATTTTTGTTTTCACCTATTCTAGATATCATTGGAGAGACATTAGTGATTTCAAAATGGAATAGAACACTATTTCATATCACCAGGATACGTTGCCTCACTAATAGATTTCACAATTTCATCTTGTTAGATTTCTGTATCGTTTTCTTTTCATCTAAATGAAATCTTAATATTTTTTTTCCACCTATTCTAGATATGCTTGAATGTGAGATAAGCTATACAATCAGTGCAGAGGTATGCTTTCTGTTGCTAATGCTAACTTATCTTTTGAGAGCTCCAATTCACATATGTATGGTCTAGAGATGCTTGTAGGAGATAACTCTATGTTCCAGTATTTAAACCCATCATTAATTCAAACTGAGACAAATCTAACCTAATGAACTAGTAATATACAATGCCCAGTTATCATCCTTGTAATGTATGCTTTTCTGGTGACGCAAATTTTTTACAACATTGGAGTTTCAATTTAATCTTTAAGAGGGAAAATAACATAGAAAGCAATTGTCTTTGTTTATTGGCAAGGGAAAATTACAGCATTGTCTCCTTTGCTAGGCTATTAGAAAGGAGTTGGGCATATCTTCATATGATGATGCTGAAGCAGAGAAGGAACTGAAACAGATGGTAAGTGCCACCTGTAGCATATTATTACTGATTAATGGTACCAAGTTGCCCCCTGACTGTTTTCTTTTTTTCGGTTTGTTTGCTTATGTTGACGTTTTTTCCTGGTTTGTAGGATTATAATGCAAAATGTAAAGCATGTCAGCACTTGGGTCTGGCATATGTTGCCAGACAGGTAACCTTCCCCTCCATCATCAATATATTCCAAATATGCTCACAACCACCATTTTTTTCGTTAGAATATGATGTTTCTCCTTCTGAATAAGCCAGATTTTTTCCCCTTTATGCAGATTAGGTCTGCAGATGAAGGCCAGACTATTTTCTACACATGCCCTATGTGCGGAAACAAACAGACAGAGAATTCATAGATGTAAGATGTTCAAGTGTAATCTATCAAAAACCAATCTTGAAAATTTTTATGTTTTTAAAGGCTTAGTTATTTGCTATTTTGCTCTTGTTAACGGATTGCCTTATGTGTTGCATGTTTTGGATACTTGCACTTTTGAGGGAATAGGAAATCTTATTTCATAGGGAATGGAATAAGCATTATTGATGGATTTGTAGAAATAGATTTCAGGAATTGTATTAGTGTTTGATTAGAGCATGCTCATTAGTTGAAGTTTTTTTTACAAATTTTAAGATGCCACGTAAGATAAAGGGGTGACTGGTGAGGGAAAAAAAAAGGTTAAAAAAATAAAATTTTAGTTGTTTATATGCACGTGGTGTGGCAGGTGCGCCTAACGTGCACTTGTAGTAACATAACTTTCTTTTTTTTTTTTTTCTTTTTTTTTCTATGAAAGTGTATCTTACAAAAAATCAATATTTGCAAGTGTAATTTTTTGGTCTCTCTCCTCTTACTTTACTCTTCAAACTTGAGCTAAAATCTAACAAAAAGTCTGAAAGAATAATTTAAAATGCATTGATGGAGGTGCTATTAAATTAAAGAATAGAAATGTAATAAGCATTAAAAAAAAAATTAAAATTACCCCCCACAAAAGAATACATTCACAATACATTACAAAAATAAATAATGTTAAATTAGGTATTATAAAAAAGATGTTATTTCTAAGAATTTAGGTAATACTATTTCTAAGGTTAAAATGATTTACCAAATAATGAAATATGTTTATTCTCAAGAATGTTAACATGTTGATTCACTCTCAAAGTATTATTGTATTATAGGAAGTTCTATTTTTATTTTATTTTTTGACGGGCTATGATTTTGCTTAAGGTGATACCGATAGGGCCTTATTTGTGAACGGACCAAGATTTGCTTTGATATGATGGGATAAGATTGATAAAAATGAGAGTATCTAACCCTTAATTTGGAAAAAATTTATCCACCAAACACTACACATTAATGTGGTTGCAAAGTTTAAATGTAAGTTCAAACGGGAATAACGTGACAGGAAAATGATGTAAAGATGAATGAGTCAAAATAAGAAAAGAATTGATTGATGGAGTGACACCCACCCACTCCTTTCCAAACATGGCTCGTGATTCCCCATGGGATTCTAACTTAAACATAGCACCATTCTAATCCAACCTATCACACAAGATCTTGTGACTAATCTCCTCGCTGAATTGTAGGCACCTTTTTTGAATGAGACAACTAGTTGGTCCGAAGATTTGACTTAGACAGCTAGCTGGCTTGAAGATTTAAGGTTGCTCCATACCCAAAATCAATAATTGAACACTTGACCTTTGGTTAAGGATGGATGAGTCGTTTTCACTCAACCACACCCTCCAAGTTACAAGATCTTTCAATTCAAGTATGATTTATATTTCATGTGTAATATTAACATGAGTAGTATTTACTTAATGTACATTCTCGAATAATGTGATTTGAAATAGTAGTATTAAATATAATGGCATCGTGAGTCATGAGTGTATATTTAAGTTGTAATTTTGTTAGAAGAAGTAAAAAATAATAATTATGTGGATTAGCTTATAAGGGGGTTTAGAGTAAGTGTGGAAGTAGGTTGTTAGCTAACAAGTGTGAACAATGTGACAATAAACAATTGAAGAAAAGAGTTGTCAAAAATAATAAATAATATTGGTCACATATTCCACAAGTAGGAAGAGTTTTATACGCACCAAAACATATATGCACTGTATTTCATGATTTCATCTTTCATCCTTTATATGTATAATACAGCCAACAACACTGTTGACTTTTGTTAATGGATAAAACAACTACTTGATGTAAGATAAGGTTTTTTTTTTTTTTTTTTCAAACCACAACTTTATATTAATTGAAAAAATGTGCAATACAAGATGGAACGTTAAACATAGAAGTAGAAGAAACAACATGAGAACCCGTTGCCCTAGTAAGAGTATGGACCAACAAATTCGTTGACTGACGAATAAAATGGAAGGATTGTAACATTATCAAAATGCCTAGCAATAGATCGACATTCTGCAATCGTGCAACCCACATAAGATAAGTCCATGAACGGCGAGTTCAATAGATGACAAACATTCAAGTAATCCATCTCAAAATGTACATGCTTCCGGCCTGGCCTATAGATTTCATCCAAGATAACGTTTCCTTAACCCCAAGTGCCTCAATCGTGTGAGCATCACCAAGGCAACGAATTGATCCTATCTTCGCAGCAATGAACACAGCCTTGTTTCAACAAGTTCCGAGTCCTCATAATAAACCGCCAATAGAAAATGAGATTATCATATTACCAAACCTGAGCATCAAGAAAATTACCATTGAGTTAATATTTGGCTTTCATATAAGTCTAGCAGCCACCAAGCCTCATTATTAAGTAGACGCCATCTTTGCTTAGCCAAAAGGGTTATATTAAATTTAAATATTATACACTACACTAAAATTTTCAATTAGACTCCAAAATTTACTTGAGATGAATATTATGTTGGAAAAAATAGCTTAAAAATGACATAAAAAGGCATGTTAAGTGGCTATTTTGTGGTACAATTATCAGTGGGGTCCACTTCTGATTTGGGTCGGGTTAAAGTGGATTCGGATTCTTCGTAGTGAGACGAAGAGATCGATATATTGTACGCTCAAAACGGATAATGGGTGAATGAGATATTGATTCTCAAAGTAGACCCATTTGAGTTGGAAAATGAAGGGAAAAGTGGCTTTTGTCCCACATTGCTTTGGAATGAAGATTTCCCCCCCTTATATACAAGAGCTCTTTCAAACTTGTAGAATTGTATAGCATAGAGGCTCTCTCGCGCGGGGGGGTGGGGTGCAAATCAAATTCCAACTAGCAGAGATTGAAAAAGGCTTGATTCAAGCCCGAGCTCGTGTGCGCCGGCACCTGCGAAATTGGCTGGCCTTGATTCCGGTCTGGAACCCGAAAGTTCCGACTGTTGAGGGGATTGAATTCATCTGTTACGGAATTAATTGTCTATTAATTCCAATTTTGAAATCTGAATTCAATTCCCAGGTAGTGGCCTACTGTTGAGGGGATTGAATTCATCTGTTACGGAATTAATTGTCTATTAATTCCAATTTTGAAATCTGAATTCAATTCCCAGGTAGTGGCCTGCTGTTATAGCTGTTGGAAGGCAGCTTTAATGTCATTTTTAATTGCCATAATAAAGGCTATTGGCTTCTTCAACCCTATATAAGAGAGGGTAGATGCAGTAGAGTTTTACACACAGCATTACACAACACGAAAGTATACTTTTCAGCTTCAAAAATCTCTGCTTCTACTCCTTCTTAGCCATACTGTGTTCATAACCACGTCTTGCTCGCCGGATTCTTTGTTTGAATGCTCAAACACTGAATCATAGCAAGTTTTATCCTGGGAAGCCTAGGCCACAACGCTCCTAGCATCTTTGGGAGGTGGCAAATAAGGTTTTAAGGAAAGAGTGCTCACTCGACTCTTGCAAAAACACAACACCAAACACTAGCCAAATTTCTTCAACTTTTTCTTCCCTTCTTTCCAGAAAATAATAATCTTATTTTTGATTATTATTTATGTTTTTCTAAACGATACCAACATATTAAGATACTCAAATTTGACTTGACTCATCATTCGAATTAGTCAAGTTTGATTCGACAATAACAAAATCAAATTCAAATATTTATCCAATTAAATAAAAATAATAATCTACAACTAACTTATCAGCTTATTTAAATTCTTAATAAATACTTCTCCCAATAAAATGTGGTTAAAAGTTGATATTAAAATACGAAAAGGAAAGCAAGTGGGCAAGTGGAATGTAAAAGTAATATAATGAATATACGCAAGTACAGTGATGTGAAATTTCTTTTTTTTTTTTGAAAGATATGTAGTGGTACAGTTTTTGATTTATAGTACGTACATAGTACGTAGGACGAATTGTATTATTGAATTATTATTATCATATCGTTTTCGATATCTTTAAGTACTGTCCTAACCAACATATGTCCCATTTTCCGTGTTGCGATTTTCAAAGCCGCGTGCCACTTTTTTCTCTAATACGTCTTGCCGGTCCACGTCTCTAGCTACTTTATTAACCCAACCAATACAAAGAGTTCTATTAACGGAATTTTTAAATTTTACTCCATCAATTATATTTTATGACGTAATAAATATTAATAGTGTTGTAAATATTTATATTTATGGCCATTAAACTATTTAGACCTTTCATTTGCTTATCATTTAATCATGTATTGATGTTGTGTACTTGAAATGTTGTATATGACCACTATATAAAGTGAGTGAAGATGAATGAAAGGGACACACTTACATGATGGTTATACTATAACTTGGTGTTCTTCTCCTCCTCCTTTTTCTTCTCTTTACATATACAAACACACATACACACACACACACACATATATATATATATATATATATATATATATATATATATATATATATATATATATATATATATATATATATATATATATATATACGCAATTCCGGGTGTATAATTGTGCAAGCATCACGCGGGGACTAACGAGTGAAAAGGTCAAAACTTAACACGTTATCAAGCACGCTCTTCGGTGAACGGTATGCTTTATACATTACTTTTCTTACAAAGTGCATATTTGTTGTTAATAAAATATGTACTCTGTATGATTGAATTATATGCATTGTCTGTAAATGCTATGCGTATCCTTTATAACATAAACTGAAAATATTGCATACAATATTTTATTAAAAAATGCATATAAATATTCTGCCATGTTTATTTGTTCAAATATACATGCTGGCATGAACAATGTTGCTAATTCTTTTTATCATCCCTAGTTGTCAAAAATGCCTATAATTGCATATTTTGTGTTCTATGGATATGTGGATATGATTATTGGTTATATGCCTTTTGAAGATATTGTTTTATATGATACATATTCTTCTGAAATTTGAAATATGAATTGCACATATTGGCTCATATATGTATGTTTGTGTAAATTCATGAATATATTTTTCCAATTCTATATCCTGCGAATTGAATGAAATATATGAACACAATATGCCTGGTTATCTTCCTAATATATTATATTATATTGTCTAGATAAGTATGATATTGTATATGTACGCATAGTTTGTATATATGCCTGCAAATTCTTTAATAAGGAAATCTAAAATCTTTGTCTCTTCGGAAGA